CTTCTTTTATTTTTGGAGATTTTGTTTTGTTTGTATGTGTATGTATGTATGTATGTATACATGTATGTGTGTATGTATGTACGTATGTGTGTGTGTGTGTGTAAATATATATATATATATGCATGTGTGTATGTATGTACGTATGTGTGTACGTAAATATATACATATATATATATATATATATATATATATATATATATATATATATATGTATGTGTGTATGTATGTACGTATGTGTGTGTACGTAAATATACATATATATATATATATTTCTGATTTTTATTCCTCAATATAAAATATACAGGTCATCTATTATTAAAAAGGGTTACCATAAACAACGATATGAAAAATATTAATCAATATAATGATAAAAGTATAAACATTAAATATAAAATATACGATACATTATAGTAACAATCAAATTAAACAATGCAATTAATACGAAGCAAATTCACGAGGTGGCACACAAATACATAGTGTGGCCCATTAATTATTTGGTAAAATAAAGTTTGTTTATTATTAATACGCGTTAATGTCCTTTTATCCGTCGGTACAAGTGGTTTCCTACATGTATGTGTGTATGTATGTACGTATGTGTCACTGTGTGTACGTAAATATACATATATATATATATATATATATGTATGTGTGTATGTATGTACGTATGTGTGTGTGTGTGTGTGTGTGTGTGTGTACATAAATATACAGACTAGATTAGTTCGGATGAACTACCTGTGGTCCACACCAAGAAATAGTATTTATTATTATTATTAAGATTACTAGATTTGTTATTATTGGTGAAATAAAATCATATCAATTGCATTCTAAGGAATACTTAGAATTTGTGCATTATTCACATAAATGTACTTGAATAGTGTTGAGGATTCAAAAACAGTTTCACTGCCAATTTACCTGATTTACTCTTTATGTTTTCTTTAACTTTTTTCTCGTGGAACTATGGATGGAAAAAAAAATGAGTAATTTAGACATACGATGCCACTAGTACTACAATATAAACAGTGCTTTTTCAAATTACTATATTTTTATTTTAGGATATTACAATGCTCTTCCTTCATGGATACTAGATGGCTAGTAATAATTCATATTCAGTACATTTGAATAAATTATTTATTAAGCTTATCTAAAAATCAAAGAAAGCTTAGAAAGAACTCCCGTGTGCTGAGGGAATAGGGATCATGATGTAATATTCAGGAATATTTGAAAATGATAAACAAATTATGAATAATCTATTAAATAAGGAGCCACCAGTAGTCATCTACACACATAGACATCGTATACCTACAATAAGCCTACTTAAAAATATGCATAAAAAGTCTACACAAAATTGCAACATTAAAAAGAAAACTGAAATAATTCATAAAACATTGGGGAAAATGAAATGCAACAAAAATAGTAAACAAATAAATGCCCTAAATAAACTTATAGGGCATTTAAAAATATTTTAGAAATTTAGTTAACACGGAAAACGTGAAGTAGCAAGAACAACTATGTAAATTTCTGACAAACAATCACAATCTAAATATCTAAAATTCAAACCACTATCTTAATATCAATATGTGTGTCAATAAATATTATAATATTATAATATTTTCAGTTACGTATATTAATAAGGAAGGCATCACAATCTTTTGAATTGGTTTGTAAATCCCGAAAATCGACAT